GCGTTATCGCATCAATATTACGGCAAATATAATCTTTTTTTATGATTTATCCGTCCTGTTTTTCAGGCTACTTATAAACTACCCCTCAAATTACTGAAATTCCCGAAGCTATTAAAACAGTGAAACTCCGGCTGATAATTTTGCGGAAAGATGCCGTTGACATGCACCGATTGCCCGAAAATATGCTGCTCCGTGATCATACCAGTAAGTTCATATCAGGAGTACTTTTGAGTTTCCCAGATGAAAATAACGGGGACTGAGTTAAACGATTCATCTAGATAGAGGAAAAATTTATAATTGAAGAATCAAAGGCTTTCCATATTCGGTTTATGAGAGGTAAAGACATTTCTGAAGGAACCCGAGTGGTAGTACGTATCAATAACAACCACGTGCTGGCATAGCTGCCAATGAAGCTCGTCTTTCGAGGGTTGCTCAGAAGAAAGCTGACCTTGTCGAAGTGTTTCTGTTAGGGGAATCGTTAAGATGATAGTTCCTTTCGGGTTAAAAACGCCAGTACACTGACCACCAGGTGATGCAGCATTGGTCAAATCAGTTAAACATATTGGACAGCTGGAGAATGACGTCATGAAGTACGGCTGGTCAGCATAAAATATTATCTCAGTGTCGTAAGGTTCGGCGAGGTTGCCCAATGGAGCCTTTGATGCCTAAACCAATTGCTCTCGATGAACTCACTCATTGGAATAAGCTCAGTTTGCCTCTGTTCCTCACGGAGGGTAAAAATAAGTAAATGATTTCGATATTCTTGGTAACCGGTCGTGCGACACTCTGCCCTAAACTCCCTACCTTATTTGGATTTGTGCCTGATCTTGTGCAAAGGTTCCCCGATGCTTCTGTATAATTATAAAGGAGGTATAGTATTTCACTCTTTGTGAGGGACGGAAGCACAGAGCACTACTCATGAGAGAGAACTAAACGCTGGTGTTGGAGTAGTTCCTTCACATGGCTAGTTCTTTTTGCCGTCCCTCACAAAAAATGAAAAAAGTGAGTGAGATGGATTCTGTTGCTATTGGTGATGTTTGGCTTTTTCAGCCGGTTGGCGTTTTTTTCGAAAGAGGATGTGGTATTGACCTGGCGATCAATATCCTGCTAACGCTACTCGGATATATTCCTGGCTTGATACATGCTTGTTTTATTATCGTCAAATACTGATATTATACTTGCATTTTCGCCCTGTATTAAAATTTTATTCACTCTTCACGCTTTATTGTTACGTTGTTGAAATTTACAGCTGTAGCTGAGGGAAGGTACTGCGTTGAGGTAAAAAAATTTCAAATCACCAAGTACTTATGTGATATTAGATGCTAAGATCCTCATTAGACTTAAGCAGAATTATAAACACCATTCCAAGTACACTTTTTTTCGCATAGCTTGAAATAATCTTCTTCGCTCGCTTTATTGACTTACCCGAACATTTTCGTCCCGCATCTTTGTCGCAGCGATAAGTTCTTGAAACTTTGTTATTTGCCATCACTGTCAGTTGATAAGTTCCTCCGTTTTGCTGTAGTCTAGGTGTTCAAGCGGATCCTTCCATTATTTTAACTACCCACACAGTGTTTATTTAATACGCATGAGCACGCTGTAGTTATTAATGGGTGTAAAATAGTTAGATGAGTTTGTTTTCTGTTTAGGACATACAAAACAACTAAAAAAATCTAAAAAGTCGCCTAATTTTCAGGAATTCCGCTTGAATAAATTTCGAATTTTATTTTTCTTGCTCAAAAATACACTTTCTTTAGGAGCACCAGGAACCTCAAATTGGCCGATTTTTGTCCAAATTAATTTTCTTTGAATCATATATGGTGTAAAAAACTACTCTCTTGTAGCTGGACTGGTATTAGCACTTTTACTGCGGTCACCCACAAGTAATTCTTCGCTCCGGGAA